CCCCCCAGTCCCTCTCTGACCGGCAGCTCTCCAGCCACTCCTCCCCAGGCCTGGAGCCCCCCTGGGGGTTGTTGTGGCCCAAGGGCAGCCCCCGGCATTTGCCCTCAGTGAAACTCCCCGAGTTGGGCTCAGCCCATGGCTCCAGCCTGGCCAGGTCTCTCTGCAGCCTCCCTGCCCTCGAGCAGATCAACACTCCCACCCAACTGGGTGTCATCTGCAAACTGACTGAGGGTGCCCACGATCCCTTCATCCAGATCATCGATAAAGATGTTAAACAGCAGTGGTCCAAAGCACAGCCCTGGGGGACACCACTGGTGACCGGCCGCCAACCAGATTTAACTCCGTTCACCCCAACTCTTTGGGCCCGGCCATCCAACCATTTTTTTACCCAGCAAAACGTGTGCCCGTCCAAGCCCTGAGCAGCCCGTTTTGCCAGGAGAATGCTGTGGGAAACGGTGTCAAAGGCCTTCCTAAAGCCAGATCACCCCAGGATATCCTCCAGCAGTCCTCTGCCTCCGCTGGGGCTCAGTGCCTGAAGAGGTGGCCTTGTTCCACCTCAGGCAGCCAAGTGCCCCCCAGCGAGACTCTGCAGCGGGGCAAAGCCAGTGTCACAGCGTGGTCCTCATTATCCACTCGGGGCTCCTGCTGCGTCCACACGCCGAAATGAGAATGAAGAGTTGACAGCTGTGTGTTCTTCTTAATTATAACCCCCCTTCACTCTGTCAGACAGTTGTCATTAGCAATTTTACTGTAAGCATCTGCTTTTCCACTACACGCGCATTTTACGAAATTCAAATTATTTTCAGAATTTAATATGAAGCATTAGACTATTTTTGTTTTCAAGGCTTAAGTATCATACAACAAAAGTCCCTGTTATCAATTAATGTTACTTCTTGGGAACTCTCAAACATATTTCCAAGATGACTTAGTGCATTTCTGCTACACTTTTAATTAAAAACTTCTGTTAAATCACTTTAGCCTTGTGGTTTTAACCTATTTACTTTTCCGAAAAAAAAATAAATTACATCCTTCTAAAGAATTCCTCGACCCCTGTACAGCTTCATACAAGGCACCTCACTAAGACATATACGTACTCCACCTGTTAATACCAAGAGCTTTTTTAGGAACATGTTGCTGGTAAATAAAAATCTTGCTTAAAGATAACACTTTTAAATTCTACCTTTACAGGAAAATGCTGGAAGCTGCCTTGCTACAGTGCTGTATCGGAGGACAAAGTCTCCACCCGTTGTCAACATCAAGTGCATGCAGACCAAGGACCAGAAACAAATCCAGGAAGAGGACAACAGACTTTACCAAAAAATTAGGCACCAAACTAAACCAATCATTGGGAACAATATTCCAGGTATATTCCTCCAAATAATCAACTGTATTTCATTTTACCTTAAAGAGCTCGGGTGCTGTTAAGAACACAAGCAAATGTAGACACATTTTTAAAAGAAGACACAGCAGCACCCTAAACCGTAGAGCTAACTATCCAAACAATTCCACCTCATCAGCTTCTTGGGCAGAAAAAAAACCCTGCTGCATTTAGCTACAATGGTGGTCAACACAACGTTGTGAAGGTGTTTGGGATTTAAAAACAAGCCGGTGCCACTTCATATTCAACTAAATGCACAACGTTCTCAAGTAGTAACAGCTGCCCTAACCCACACACCTCTCCCAGCGCCAGTGGAACCTCCCAGGGGATGACTAGCAGAACTTTTCCATCCTGGAAAGGGAGTGCCCTGGTCCCGCTTGTCCTCCCGGCGAGGTACGGACGGCGGATGTCGGGTTTCTCACCTCCTGGGGGACCCTGTGAACAGTCTCTCCTGGCAATTCCCGTTCTGTCACGCTTTCACGCTTGTACCGTGACCGCAGGTTCAGCATCATTCTCCTCCCTGTTCAAGACTGTAAGATGTTGGGGGGAACACTTGCTCTGCCAGGCAAAAGCACTCGGTGAATTATAATTTTTCCACTGAACAACCAGAATTAATCATTGTTGCTCTCTTTCCCCCTTGCAGACAGCTATGGCCACATTGAACCTGCCCTGGAGCCAGCGTGGGCTCTGGCTGTCACTGGCAGCAGTTACATGATGTGGGAAAAGTCAACAGAGAGCCTGGGTTACTTCCTGGCACAAGTGAAGTCCGTGAAGCAGTGGGTAAGCAAAGTGGAAATTACACCTCTGTGTCACAGAACCTAACAGTTTACTCAAGCAGCAGAGAGTAAACTAGCCACCTGCTAGTAAACTAGCTCCTGCTCTCTGCAGGGGGTGCGATTCTCCCCTGTCCCCTTGTGGGGCATCTCCATCTCTGGACAGGTATTTTGTCCAGGTTTTGGTGGAAAAATTTACTCATTTGGCCAAAATGTAGTTTTCCTTTTCATGAGAGGATCTGGAGGAGCAGCTCTGGCACCGCAGCGGCACTTCCCAGAGCTCCCTTCCCCGCGGGTACCCAGGGTTGGCAGAGCATTCCCTTTGTGCTCCCTAGTTATTTAGAATGCCATTTTTCCAAAGGAGGGATTAATAGGCAGGTAAGATTCTGCCAATTTATCTGAGGGTTAAACTCTCCTGTTGGAGGGCTGACACGGAAAGTGCTCCCATCCCAAACCTGCCTCGCTCCCTGCACAACAAACACCGTCAGAGTAGGCTCTAAACTTCAATGTAACTTGTGTTCCTGATCGTTTTCTTCTCTTTGATCCATGCCCAGATAAGAAAAGATGATTTTATTGAGTTTGACTACACTGTCCTACTTCATGAAGTTCCAACACAGGTAAGAAAGCAAATGTGCATTAGTAGCTCCTTTCATCCACAGAGAAAACAGCATAAAGATCATAAAAGATGTGTATTTTCAAATCTCTTCTCCAGGAAATTATTTCATGTCACATGCGCCTCACTTGGCTCCCGGGTCACCCTCTGAAAGTGAAATACTTCTGTGCTTCAGAGAATCAGGGGCTTGAAGATGGATCCGGAATGGAATCTGGATCAGCTGCTGGGATTTTACACGGAAGAGGAGCAAATTTTTAAGAGATTTTCGCCTTTATGTATAAGTATTAAATGAGAAAATCCTTGTGTTAATAGACCTGGAGTTGTGATAATTTTTCTGTACAAGTCGAACAGTGAATTTGAATGCTTTCACTAGTCTGTTCTCTTGCAAAATTAACTCCTGTAATTTCTTAAACGGCAAGACTCACCTCCTGGAGTTCTACCTAAACACTTTGCTACGACATATATACACAGATAAGCACACGCAAGTTGATTTTATGTCACTAACTTAGAGTAACATTGTTTGTAAACAAAGTTAATATATTTGGATAAAAATATCGAGAAAAGTATTAACCTGTCGCTCTATTTGTCTAATTTTTTTTCTCTCTGTTTTGGGATGGATAGATGCTGGTTTTTAACTTACATCTCCAATAAAACAAGCACCGTTACGCAGGGTCGAGGCTGCGTTTTCTCTCATGCTGCTGCCATTTGGCCCCGGTTTTTGTTCCAGCTTCACCCTGGTGTTAATTCTGGCATTCGTTAATTCCAGCTTTGCCCCAGCATTCATTTGTCCCAGCTTCACAAGACCCTACAGAAGCCGGTGACCGGTGTCGCCATGGCTCCGTCCCGCCGCCGTCCCCTGCAGGGTGAGCCGACATCCAAAGCAAGTTTCTTCTCTCCTATTTGTGAGGGTAACTCTGAAAATATTATCGATGGAAGGAAAACATGTTTTCTCATCTCCGCACATCCACCACTGAACCCTGCGAGCAACTGGGGTGCCCAGGAACACCTTTTTCCCCCCTTTACCCCAAATCCTCCGTTCTGTCCTGCCTTCAATCCCCAAGATAGTGCCAACTGCCATTTTCTCCCCCGTTAGAAGATTTCTGCCAGGTGAATTAACCCCTTCCAGTGCGTGCACCTTCCTCGGGAAGCCAGACGACGTTTCTGGGACAGCCTTGTTCTGGGGAACTCGCGGCACGCCGTGCTCTCACGGATCTGTAATCACTAACGGCAACTGAAGAATTCACCACAAAGCTCTAACTGGGGGATATTTAGGCTGGGTGATTTGTTAATCCCCAAATTCAGGCATTTTCCACAAGCGTATTAAGAGTCTGAGATACTTTTTCTGACTGAAGCTTTCAGTAGCAGCACAGAACAGGCATTACAATAAATTCAGTGTGAAGCATTTCACGTCCTCTTGGTGTTTTGTGCTGGTAAAAAAGGAAAATTCTCATCACCAAAGCATGAAAGAGCTTATAACAGCAATATTTCTCTAAGAAACTGGTGACGAAAATATTTTTTTAGAATTGAACCAAGATAGTATGGATTTTGCACTTTAGGGCTCTACCACAGTTTTACTTCCTTACCTTGTTTTTGCCTCTGTTCTCCAGACTGGCATCAGGATTGGGCACTTCTGGCACATCCAAATGACTAATTGTGGTAATGAGCAACACAGACACATCCATTAAGAAACCGCACAGTAACTTCTGGACGAGTAGCAAACCTGTCGGAATTCAGAGGCAGAATTTCTACCAGCTTTGTTAGGGCCAAGATTTCAGTCAGTGGATCAGAACCTAAAATCATAGAGTTTTTACTCAAGCAGAATTCTTGGTCACCACCTCGATTGCTCAGACAGGTTCCCAGTGAATTCTTCACGCTGTATAAACCACGTGTGGAGCCCACCCGTGAGACATGGGCAGAGAAGAGCAACAGTTCTCTCCCATCTTTGCTGCGAGGAAGAGTCCAACTCCGCCAGATATACCACAAGTGCTGACTAAAATCTGATTAAAGAGAGAAAAAAAAAAAAAAAAAAAAAAAAAAAGAAACAAAATCCAGGGCGCCCCAAAAGTGAGGCTCTTGCTAGTACTTCTGTCCTTCTTCCACCGCCCCACAGAACCCTTCAGCCTTGTCCCTGCTGGCAGATTTTTTAAGATAATCTCCAAACGTCAGAGAAACTGCAGGGCTTTTCTTGAAATGAGTTCCAGCTGAGGATTTTCACAAAACCAAAGCTACAAATGTAAGGGAATCGAGAAGGATTTAGCCAAAAGCAACATCGTACTCATACACAACTGATGCAACCAAGTTCACAGTTACATACCCCTGACAAATCTCCAACATGGTACTTTTTTTTTTTTTCCAAGGTTAAAATAAATAATTTTCAGTGTCTTTCTGTGAAGGCTGAGGAGCAGCAGCCCAGCCATTACAGCTCTGTCTGTGTCTGGTAAACATCAGGCGCAATCCCGTGCCAGGAATGTCGCTGGTTTTGAACTGGAACTTCATTCTCTGTTTACTGGAAGTCTGGACAAAATGCTGTTAGGCTGAGTAGGGCAGGAAGAGAAAGCACACAAAATTCAGCATGGATCTTCTGGTAGTAATTTAAAAAAAAAAAAAAAAAGGATGCTAATATCGTCTCTTTCTCCCCTAACTATAACAGCCTTGTTTTATCTAAGAGTGAGCGAGATCTCTTCAACCAATTCCCATCATCGGCAACACGCCCTCTGGACTGTGAGAGTCGGGAAAAAGGCATTTTTCTGTTGGGTTTTCAAACAAAGAGCCACAAAAGCAAACCCACAGAATAAACCCTCGTTGTTCGAAGCTTTGGAAAGAGTTAACATCTACGTACACTATCCCCAACTCCTTCCCAATGCCTTGCACCATCAGCAACCCCCGCGTGCCGTTCCCGAAATTACGAAATTACAAAACAATGCCTAATTACAACACAATGATGTAGCAGGTAAAAAATTAAAATTATTTTAATACAAACGGATTAAGACAAATTTCAAGACAAATTCTCATCAGTGTTTTAACATTTATATATTTTGTTCTTGAGCAGCATTTACATGGGAACAATTCCATTGCAATCTCCCGGTGGCTTCTGAGAATACCACAAAGGACGATTATGATTACGATGAAATTACAAGTCCAAGTCCCAGTGCAGCCAGCACTTACCCAGCCGGCCTCGATTGCTTCTGCAGCTTGAGCAGCTGAGCTTTCAGAGAAAAGCGTGAAAAACTGTTCAATATACTCAAGACGAGAAAAGTCAGCTCTTGGCTTTGCCCTTTTTTGCAGGAAGTCGCCCTGTTGCTTCAAGGTATTTGTTAATTATTTCTTCTTGAGTGCTGGGCAAACATGGTTGATATTTAGAGTATTCCATTGTATATTCACCCTTTCCCTGGAGAGTTGGAAAAAGACAAAAGGAGGATGCTAAATGTGTAATCCTACAGCAGCGAGCCACATCTCGTCCATGAGGCAACACCCAATCACCATTTCCAGGGGTGGACACAACCACCGTGTACGTGTGATACAAAAATCCACACGAGCACCATCTGAGTGTTATTTCTTTGACACAAGAGCGTAAGGTTGCCCGTGGTCCCCCTCTCATCAGCGTGACAGTTCTGCTCAAAACCGGACAGCAATCGTGGTGTTAACAACCAGCCCCCCGGGGCACTCACGCCTCACGAGACGCAGAACAGTGAATTGTACATCGCACAAACTCACCCGTTCAAAAGCTCTCCACGAGCACACAACTACAGCTGTATGTGTTGTTAAAAAGGGACATCTTAGTAACGTGAGCACTGCTGTCAAAAACCTGTCACTGAAGGGGCTTACGCCTCGACTCCTCCAGCCTGTGAGCCTAACGCTCACACCTATCACTTCATATTACTTACGGCTCTGATTCTCTTCCCTCCTCAAAGCACGACAGGATTCTTTGGCCAGAAATGACACAGCTAACGATGGCTATGTTAATTAAAAAGCAGTTAAAGCAACAGTAAAAACTCTAAGGTTATTCTGCTATTCCGTGTTTGACTCTTACTGCTTTTGACTGCTGCGTATGCTAGGTGTGTGCTGATGCATTTGTAAACGATCATTCTGTAAATGAGCATTTACAGAAATAAAGGTGATTTACAGAATTAACTTGATTTACAGAAATAAACACGTTCTAGCAAAAAGTACTGAGTACTTACCTCTGTGCAAGACCTCAGCTCCATGGCATAGCCAAACATATCGTTCAGTGGCACCTAAAATCCAAGCAGACTAAGATTGTAAAAACTAGGTATTTCTCCATCAGCTTTGGGTTAGTTAATCTCAATTACAATACAAAGAGTAAAATCTGGTGCTCTCCGTAAACAGCACTGACCTAATTATCTATTTTTGTAAGATACCCCGTATTTCAACTAATTTATATCCACACTGTGTTTTCAGCGGGAAACCCCACAAATCTCAGAGTCTGAATGCACCAGACACTGGAGTGTCCTGAATTCAGTGAAGTGTCACCCAGCAAGAGGTCGTCACGTCTGAAATATCTGACAACTGCAGCTCTAAATGTGATTTAGGGAGCGGGAGCGACGCAGCGTGTCATTTGTCGATAGCTAAGGATTTGCTGAGGTGATTTCCCCTACCCCTGCTGTTAGACAGACACTTCTCTATGCCCTGACACGAGAACAAACATGGTTTTGGAAGGGACATTAAAGCAGAACACTGAAAACAAGTAATTTGCATTTATCTGTAATTATTACAGTCGGTGCAGGTTAACAGCTGAGAAGAGCTTCCCCCCGAACCCTGTCTTGCCACACAGGTTTCCTTCACTCTGAGGGAGCACCCTCTGCCCATCTCAGGAAACCTGAGTTCTGCTCCCTTCTCCGCCACCCTCGGATTTCGGGTTAGTAAACTGGCTTCTCTGGAGCGAGATTTTTTAAAAGCACAATACGCTGCCCGGAGCTGAAAATTACTGTTATGCTTATCCACTGAAAAACGGATGTTATGTTTATCTGCTGAAAAACCCAGCTGCGAGTTTACGTGTACCAGTCAATAAATAAAACAGTAACAGAGTCGAAAGGCAAAGTGGGGAGAGAAAAGGTCAGGAACCAGCAAACACCACCAACCTCAGCGTAGAGAGTGAAGTAACCCTCTGTACCATCTTGTCCTGTGATCACTCCATGCCGGCGATTAATTCCAGCTATCACAGGTCCCTGGAATTCGGTGGGTGCCATCACCTCCACTGCCATAATGGGTTCCAGTATACGCACAGTGGCGTTTTCCATAGCTGCAGAAAAAAAATGAACTAAATAACCAAACATGAAGAACAAGCCTGGTGTAATTCGAGATATTTCTGTGTGTAGCAAAGGTGTGTGTTGTGTCACGTCAGTGGGGGAAAACAATAACTGGCTATGTGGAATTCCACCTCCCTTGCTGTTTATTCCTGAGACCGCAGTGCTGGGAGGCACATGGTTGGAGAAAACAATTTCATACCTGTGTAAGGATGAAGTTGTTGGTGTTTCTTTATTCTAGAAAAGCAGGACTTCCTTCATACAACTACAGGAATTATTGCACCGCCCTCAAAATTTCTGTAAACTCGCATGTATATTCTGCTCTGCACAACTGGCCAAACTTTAACGGTATGTATGGACACACACCAGGCAAGTGAACCTACAGAAAGGAGGTCCTGGAGCCCTGAGCCAAGGAGCCAGCGCCAGGCCCCGAGAGAATGGCCTCAAGCTGCCCAGGGCAGGGTCAGGCTGGCTCTGAGGAAGGATTTCTGTGCAGAAGGGGCTGTTGGGCGTTGGAATGGGCTGCCCAGGGCAGGGGGGAGTCCCCGGGATCCCTGGAGGGGTTGAAGAGTCGGGCTGAGCCAGCGCTGAGGGATCTGGGGGAGTTGGGAAGGGTCAGGGGGAGGGTCATGGTTGGGCTGGAGGAGCTGCAGGGGCTTTTCCAACCAAACTGATTCTGTGAGGTCATTAAATGTAGCTCCAACAACAAAGCAGCCAGCAGGCCTATGCGTTCAAATGACCGACTCTGTACCTTGCTTTAGGGCTCCTTCTCCTGCTCTGATGAAGGAGATTTCATTGGAGTCCACCATGTGATGTGCACCATCATCCAGGACGAACCGCACTCCAGATATCCTGTGCCCTGACACCAGCCCTTTTTCACAGGCTTCTCGGAAGCCCTGTCAAATAACAGCTCCAAGTTAGTACTTTGTAGACCAAAGTGACGCTTAAAAAAAGAGTACCACTAACAACAGCCCGTGAAAGACATTAAACTTCAAAACCAACAAGAACAAAAAAAACCCCAAAACCTTTCACGATTTTTAACAGTAATCCCGTATCTCCCCAATGGACCCTCTTGCTTGATAAGGCGATGGAAGAACGTAACAGTGTGGAAAACCTCTAATTCCCAAGGATTTGAAAACTCTGTATTATCACTCTTTGGCACCTCAGTTTGATACTGGTATTTTTTAAAAACAGAAATCCCATAACAAGTTAAGGACAAGAAAAAAAACGTACTCGGGATTTTGCTCTGTTAAGGGACTGCATGATCAAAACCCAAAAGCATGCTCCATGTGGGAAGAACTACTCTAACCACTTGACTGAGGAACAAGATTCTTTTAAGGCTGCATGCTTTTTCCAGGATTTGGCAAAAATCTCTTAAGTGTTGCATCATGGAATAGTGAAGGAATTATTTTAGGTTGTTCCATTATGATAGGAATTCAGAGATCATGGTAGGTACTACTTAAAGCAGTATGTGATAAATTATACAGTTAGAGAGGCAGACACAGAGGAAGCCTGCAGAAGAGATGAAAAAGAGAGAATATTTGGCAATTCATGCAGAAAATCTAGCTTAATTACAGTTTTCTACAAAACTGGCCTCAGAGCTAAGTCACCAAAAAAGTCACATATTTTGGGGGGTTAGAGATGAGAATCATGTGGTCACAATCAAAAGCAGAAGAGGGCTGTTAGAAAGTGGATTCAACAGAAAGAGGCTTGTCTGTAAGAAAGGAAAGCCCACCTTTTGCACCGAGGCACTGCTATGGAAATAAAGCGAGCACACACCACCAAGGAAAACAAGCAGCAGCTTCTAAATTATGTGGAAAACCTAAGAATGTAAGATATTAAGCAAAGCCACGCAAATTTGATTCTGCTTCCACTGAAGTAAGGGGAAAAGCCTCCTTGCCTGGGGCGAGATGGGCTCAGTAAATGTGGACGGTGGAGCAGGAAAACAAAAATCAGTATTTCTTATATACACACACAAGCGCTTTGTACCTTTTCAACAGCAGGTATGAATTGTTTTGGGATATTTGTGCCAACAGTTCTGTCTTCAAACTCTAATTTTGTGTAGTCCTCCGGATCCAGGGGCTCAAGAACACCTGTAACTTTGCCATACTGGCCTGCTCCACCCGTCTGCTTCTTGTGCGTAAATTCAAACCTAAGAACAAACAAGTTCCCCCAGAATAAGATGTTACTCATTAAACAAACCAGGCTTTAACCACAGTCTTCTAAGGAAAAAGTTCCCATTCTGCATTTTGGTTTATATTGCATTTGGCTACGTGTGACCCAGATTTCAGCGGCTGAAACAACCGCCGAGGGTATTTAGTGCCCGCAGAGGGAACACCACGATTCTGCATCTTGGCACTGGGAAGCTGAGAGATCCTGATGAGTCAAACCGCTCAGAAGCGATGAGTCAAGTCACTCAGAGACCATCACCAAAACAAGCCGCCTCTCTGTGTGGCAACCGACGCTCGTAAAGCCTCCTCGCCTTGAGGCTTGTGCTTTTCATGGACCAAGTAACAAGGGCTTTTCGGTTGTTTCTGCACACACCTGCGGTTTTGAGCAAGAGGCTCGTCAAGGGGGAAAAGCGGCGAAACGGGAACTGCTAAATGCTGTCTGGGCGCACCTGGAGGGACTGCAGGTCTCTCCGCACCCGCCGGCGGGGCGCCCGGCCCAGGGCGGGGGCTGGAGC